GACACATGGGCTCTTCTTCACAGTGTGGCAACTTATCATGTAATAAGTTATGGACAGAGAGTCATCTGACGCAGTAACTCAAAATAAGCTGATATATTAAAGTGACGGACGGCGATGGCGTGAACAATTATTATTTCACTACATGACGACTAGTTCTAATTTACGGCGACAGTCAGATTTAGTGGCAGCGGAGCCGAGCTGGATCAACATCATCAGTGGTGATTTTCCTTTGACTCAAGTGACACTCACTGTCAGCCACTCCTGAGATAAATCTCTCATTGCCCCAATCGGTGTAAATCTGAAGGAGCCCAGGCTCATCAGGTCTGGCTGCCAGTCATATGGCCGAGGCAGTGGGTTTTTAAGCTTATGTATCAGATATTTGAAAAAACTAAAGACAGATTCTAATGTATTTTTATTAATTGTACTTGGAGGAGTTTGTTTGGCACATATTTGTTTTGACATCCTTGTTAGGACTTATTACATTATCAGTTGCTGCATGACTTCTGCCCCTCACTGCCACCCATTCACACATCCTGTGCAGTACAGAAACTGAAGGGGGGGGGGGCAAAAACCTGAAACTGTCTTGTGTTTATTGGGATGATAATGTTTTAAGCAGCTTCTGCATGTTGTCACCAGCAGGGGGTGGAGCTGGGGGTTTGGGGGGGTCATCCTTTAACTACGAACATCAGAAATGGGTGTTAGTCTGTAACAGGTTTAGAAATGTTCTTCCGTCTCTTATTGGTGTTTCTGTGGCCAACGGCTCCCTTTAATTTGAACATTATTCTGAGGAAGATCTGATGAATTTCCTTTGAATGTGGAGCTGCTCTCTTTAGTCTCGATGGCCTGGTGTTCTCATTCCTGGAGTGCATGTGATTTTAAATGTTTTCATTCCGTCATCATCCAGTCACAGACCCCCACCCGCCCCCCACACCCTCACCCCTGGGTCATTCATGCTTTACAGAGCCATCTGCATCAGTGGTGTGAAATTAGACCTCACCTTCTCTAACAAGGGTCATGCATCACGCCCATCACAGACCTTTGAAACACAAATGAGACGACTTGTTGACTGCTGTCATCCTTTGATTGCCACACTGTATATTTAACGTGCAAATTCACGCCAACCGTTGAACGAACATGTGCACAGACAGCGCCCCCCCTCCAGGTGGTGTTGTGTTTGTGTTGGATCACAGCGAGTCTTAAAAACCTGAATGTTTAGTAGAAGTAAAGCCACAGTCACATCGTTTGTCAGAGGTGTTTTCTCAGCAGTCTTGCTCATACAATGAAACGTATGCTAATGACAGTTTATTTATACTCTACTTTGACCTCCTTCAGATGTTCAGCCAATTGGGCAGGAACGCAGTGCGAGAGGCCCGCCCCTAAAAGCAGCAGATCAGACAAAACCAGCGGAGGTGAGAACTGGGAATTTCAAGAAGTCTTATTATAAAACTCAACAATTTCCCATGTGGCTTTCTGTATTTACCGTTTACACAGTGTCCTACTTCAGCTGAAGGCTTTTTGTTTATACCGCATGTCATGTTCCACTTGAAGGGTAACTTTGTGTGCGGAAACATCCGTTTGAATCATCCACAATTTCTACAGTCAGGTTTAAATATAATCTTCACCTTTGGATCTCCAACACAATTGAATTTTAATCCTAACTGAAAAAAAATTAAATTCCCTTCAATCCTGCCAGGCTTTATTATTTAAGATGGAAAAGGTGTTACTCAGCAGGTTCATCTTCATTGAACTGGTGCTGCTGTCTTTGCAAACCCATGAGGATTTAGTTGCACTGCAGTTCTTTCTCTAAGTTAATTTTAGGAGTGAAGTCTCTCAGGTAAAGTGAATATATTCCACACAATATATTCTGGCCAGGAGCTCTACCTATCATCTTCCCCTTAGTATCTCTGCTGCACCTTATTAACGTGCATTGTTCTGGCAGTTAGAGAAAGTGTACAAATTACTGCACAGCAGGTAAGTGCAGTCAGGAAACCAAGCACACTCTGTTCTCCTGACCTATTTTACTGCAGTAATAATATAAGAACATACAGAGTTTAAGCATCTAATGCACCTCAAAAACAAAAACATGCCATCGCAGAACCACGTTTGGACAGTCGGGTTATGAACCCTGTGCCTAAAGAAATAAAACTGATAACTGACTGAGATGAAGAACTTTTATTTAGTTTTCATTATAATTAATAAATAATTCTATTTATTTGAAAAACATTCCAGGGCCCACCACCAAACGAAAAAGGTCACAAAAAGTATATGTAATGAAATATAAAGGTCACAATTTACTCACTCAGTGCGAAACCTAGGCATGTTTAGTTGAACACAGCACTGGCAGGAATTGAAGAAAGATCTTCTTCAACAACCCTGAGTCGCTCTCTTTTTTCCTTTTTAATTCTTATACCATCTGCTGCCACCTAGTGGAATGGTTCAGTTTGTCACTACTCCATAGACAAATGGAAACTATTGTTGCTAAATTATTAGCCACAAATAAATAATAATATCCAGATCGATTTAGTTATACACCAGATGACATCAGCGCGTGCCGTGAGTCGCTGTTCTGGCAGAGTTGTTCCTGATGAATGAATAATAAATAATGGTGCGTCCTCTCTCTGCCCTCTAGGGAGCATAGCTATCATTGTGCCTCTGGTCCTGCTCGTCGTCTTGATCGTGATGGTGGTGGGAGGTGTTTACATCTGCAGACGGAGGCAAAGGTACGTCACCGCATGGAATATATACAATATATATACAATATATACAACAAATACAGCTGCATGTGAAAATAATGACCAACACGATGACAAACACTCCACCATTGATTCATAATTAAAATGTCATTAACTCATTCCCACATGATCAGCAATGTGCATGTCTTGTGTCTTGACCCCCCTCTCATCACCCCCCCACCCCCACCCCCAGGGGAAAACGTGTCCAGAGGCAGCCCATGACCAACGGTGGAATAAACGTGGAGATCGGGAACCCGTCATACAACATGTATGAAGTGGACCACGACAACCACGCTGACGCAGGCAGCCTGCTGAGACCCAACTTCACACTGGACCCCCAAAAGGTTCACTTTTACAGTCATGCTTGATGATAGTCGGCTTTAACCTGACGTAGGTTTTTTTTTTTTAATCTTTGTCGTATTTTCTTTACACGATGAAAAACAAAAAAACATCTTTCGGTTCTTGAGGCTTTTTCCATCTCCCTGTGAGATTTCAGCCTCAGAGTTGAGTGCGTTGCCGTTCCATCTGTGGCTCATACGATATCGTTAGTAAATGGCAGTGAAATCTACAGATAATGTGGAACACGAGGCTGTTTCAAAAGCTGCAAAACAACATATCATCACTGTCCTCTTTAGCTGGAGACCTGTACCTAAATGAGTACAGTACTCAACACTCCATATACTGCACTATTGCCTTCATTTAAACACATTATATATATTTTTGGTGAATTTTATTGATGTTCTTTGTTGCTAGAGGTCGCTGACCCCTGCACTGGGAACAATGACTATGTGACACAGTGGGGTAAATGTCCTGGTTTTGCCAGATAGCGTGAAGGTCAGATGTTAGCGTCCGAGCTCAGACATACGGTCTCTGTTTGTCTCCAGTTTCTTTCTTTATTACTCTGGAGAAAAACTCTGACCAAGAACAATTTTAATTCCAAGTCTGTGAACTGTGACAGTGTGTCTTTACGGCGGCACTGTGATGGACTGATGACATCATCCACTACAATTTAACTTGTCATTTGTCCAACACATTCTTCAGGCCAATGCTTGTACGTTATGATTTAGACTGTGCTTCTTAAATGGCTGGGCCACTCTGGGGTTGTTTCTGGGCCACACGTGGCCTGCGGGCCGCTGTTTGACTAGAAAAATTAATGACTCATATCATGTGTGCTGTTTTAAGAAGATACTGCGCTCGTGATTTAACAGGACAAAATTCAATTATGGCAGTATAAAACGATCCGTTGGATCATGAAACTCAATCGAGGAAAAAAAAAAACTCCCCTGAAAAATAGTTGTCAGTGTAAAAACGTGGAGCAGAGATTGATTTTTCACTGTGTGTTTGTGGTGCATCATAAACACTTTGTATTTCTGTGAATCAATGATGCCGTCTTTTCAGACATTCACCATACACACAGACAGGAAGTGAAGTCAAAATGGAAACAGTCATTTTTAACGACGTTTTTACATCATCACTGAGTGTCTCACTGTCTCACTGTGGGACAGACACCAACGCTCACGTCCACACTGGGATTTTTCCTTTTTTCAAAGGGATTTGTTTCTTGTTTCTTTGTACATATATTTATAGAAGTTGTAGAAAGTCCATGAACCAATAGGACGTCTTAATTCTTAATCAGCTCAAAGTACATACTAATGAACGGTCACCCATTGGTCGATCTGGTCGACCTCACCTGCTGCAGCTTCAACTCAAATGATTCGCTTTTTTCCTTCTTTTCTTCTTTTGCTTTTTCTGTTTTCCACGTAGAATCTTAGAAAAAAAAAAACGTTTCTGTTCGACCGGCGCTCTTCTGCCCCGTTAATCGAACTGAATCCCGTTCTTATTTCACCTGCTCCACATTTCGGAGCGTGCAGCCGAACCTGTTGATGTTTGAAGGTCACATGACTTTGATGATGGACACAAACAGCTGTTGTTGTCTTCCAGGGCTGGTGCGTCAAATCTAGTGATCCTCACACTCTGGGTATGAACTCTGTGCCCAAGGAGGTTATCCCTGGACAGGTGAACCTCACATACTCGTCTTCATGTGTAATTAAATCATCTTCATCATCGTCATCTTCATCCGTATCATTATACCTAAGAAGACAGACATGAACCCTGGAGTCTGAACGTCATCACATCCAACTAACGTCTTGTCTGTCAACCTTTCTGCCTGTCTTCATCTACTGCCCTCTAGCTGTTGGCTGACTTCACTTCACCTGTTATGTTACTACAGTTGATCCAAACACTAACATTACAGTCATCAGTCAGTTCATCATGGCAGTGACTACTAATGATGTCATTCTTTGTCATGGTCCCTGTCCCAGTGAAACCTGCAGCTGTCACTCCACCTCCATTCTGAAGTTCTACTTGATTCTCTCTTGATTCTTGTCTTACCTCCGTCTGTTTCCCTGTTTTGTAGCCCATGAACTACTCCAACCCCGTGTATGCAAAGATTTATATCGACGGACAAAACTGCAGGAAGCCGGTCATCAGTATCGACGAGAGGAGAGAGCTACTCCCAAAGAAATTAGAAGGGACAATTCATGAAACCGCCGCATAGCCTAACTTTACACTTTGTACTTCGTTTTCTACCACAATAAATAATGTATAGTACGACGGAAGACAGAAGTTTTTTTTTTTGTTTTTGTTTTTTTTTTAATTTCCTATGAGACTCTTAGGTTCTACTGGTTTAGCATCAGCATCATGTCGGTGTGGCTGTGCTGAAGAGATTTATTTTCCATTTGCCGTTTGCTTTATAATGTTTGTTAAATGTAAGTTATACAGCGCTATACTCTTCACTGTCCCACACACACACACACACACGAGTACAGCTGCTGATGGTGAAAACATTATTAACAACATACTGTAAGCCACACTCGTGCACAGTTGAAACCTTAAAATGCAGTGCTGAAACGTGTAGCCATGTCTGTTTCTGGTTTCAGTGGAATGTGGACACTGTCTTTTTTGTGAATGTGAAGAAGGCAGGATGGTCTCAGTCTGAGTTTGTTTTCTTTTTGTTTGTTTGTTTTAACGTCATGTGACAGAAGGAGCAGTGAACTTCACAGTCAGGCCGCGCGGCTCGGTAGCTGTGAGGATGTTTGTTTCTGTTCTCAGCGTCATCTGACGGATCTACAGACTGTGGACGGATCTTCCTGTGAAGATCCTGATATTTTTGACGTGATCTTTCCTCACACTACCTTTGTTCCCTTTCTACTCGTCTGTTCCGTATCCGCGGATTTCGATCTCTGTTTTGCCACGTTTTCACAGTAAGATACCATATCTCTGGGTGCAAGAGATTGAAGCCCACTTTGAATGTTCTCTGATCAGATCCCCAGATCCTGTACTGTACACTGAAGAGACAGATGCTGAATACCATATTTTTCTAGGCTTATTTGTCAACAGATGGGTCGGAGACATAGACGAGGAGGGGGATTTACCACGGTCACGAAGAAGGACTTAGGATATTGTTATAAGAGACATATGTAACTCCAGAAGAGGAAGATGATAAATATAAGAAATTTTATAATTTTGTATTTGATTTGTATGTCGTTTGGCTGCTTGTATTTTGAAGAAATGTACTAAATGTAAGTAATTTTTATATAAAAATGTAAATCATTATTGAATAAAGGGGGCTTATTTCCACTCAGCGTCCTGGTGGCCACACCTCCTCACCGCTCACTGCACGTCCAACACTTTTTCTTTAAGTCGTTGACATTTATTTTTTTAAAGACGAGTTTAGAGTAAAAAAAAAGTAGTATTCCAGTACTAGTCCAACCAGGATTCAAACCAGCAACCCTGAGATTAAAAGCCCAATCCTTTAACTGAACCATCCAATTCCTCATCATTTTATTCAGTAACCTCGGCTTCCATTGTTCTCCTGTTCATGTGTGCACCGCAGCAGTCTTAGCCCCGCCCACCCAACATCCCACTCCTCCTGTGGCCCATGGTCGCTGCCTTTGGATGAAGAGCCAGTATAGAAATTAATTATTTTAGCTGATATATAATACAAATAAATATAACAGATAATAACAGCTGTTTTAATGTTGTAAAAAAATGTCATTGTTGATGAAGTTGAGTATTAACGCAGTACTACTGCAGTATCTTTCCCAGCCTGATACAGTAATGACACGGTGACGTCCCGTCCCTCTTCACTCAGAGATCCCACTGGCAGCGTTGATCCACATGGTCACTGACCTGACAAGTCAATCAGCGGTGTGAGGGCTCTCACCTGCTGGGCACACCGAGGTGACTGATGGGAGACCAACACCTTTTGTTACCTGGTGGAGGGCACAGCGTCAGAGCAACCCACTGAATAATGATTCAGTCTTTTCTTTCTTGACAGAATGGCTGTCTCCTCCCACACACCCTCCACACTCTGCCTCACCATGGCAACGGCGGGAGGCTGAAACATCCGTGCCCTTTCACCGACTGTCTGTTATCGGCGAGTTCTGCCGGCACGCTGAGACCTCCGGTTCTCTGCTCCTCTGACTCCCCTTCACCACACGATGAACGATGATGCAGGAAGACTGGGATCAGTGGATTATCGTTGTTGGTATTGGATGGAAACTCTTTATTACCTTTAACAAAATCATTACGTGTGAAAAAAGAAAAACTCAGTCGAGGTGTACTCTATCTGCTGACTAACCACGATTAATCACGACTAATCCATATGTTGGAATCATTAATATGGAAAAATGTCAGGAACAACATGCAAAATTTAGCTTCATACATTTGGTGGTTTTTAGTTTTTACTGTGGATCTTGTGCTGAAGATAAAAAAATCCTGAAATTTCTGGAAAATCTATAAGTTACTGGATTTTAACGACACTGTTGATGCTCCAGCTTCAACAGTGACCGGTTCACTGTTCATCGAGCTTTCTATAAAAATGTACAATTGATGAAGATGTCTTGTTCAACAGGTGCAGAACTCCACCACCAGGGGGAAAAAAGGGAAACAGCCGAAGGGCAAATCACTCAGGCCCAAAGAGCATCAAAAGAAGAGAAAAACCGAAAATTTGAAAACAAGTTCTGAACTCAGAGATGCTTGTCACTCCCCTCTCCTCCCTCCTCCCCTCCCCTCCCCTCACCTTGCCTATTGATTATTTGTCTCTTTTCCACTTAGCAAGCATCACCATTCTCCTGCATAAACATCAGAAAAACCCAGAGGGCTCATCTCCAGGACAGAATCAATAACAGCAGGAGTCGTATTCACATTATGAACAACAGGTCCTGCATACTCATCCTCCAGCCTGGACCGGGTCTGTTCATCACTCAGTGTGCGCTGAAGAAATATACACTAACTGAAGGAAACAGCTGCGGAGTCACGGGACGTTTGCATGTTTAACGACATCCCAGATCAGAGGTTTGTTTTTTTGTTGTTTTTTTTCATCATCTAATGAATTCTCTCAACTGACAAACAGACGTTAGCTGCAGCACGAGCTCGGCCGTTAAGTGCTACGTAAGTGAAAACAAAGACACTGTACGGACGCAGACTCTTATTTAAATGCATCAGACTGACAGACGAGACAGAACCAATTACTGGGTTTGGTTTCTCAGCTCACCTGCTGCTCAGGGTTGGAAATAGAATTTTGGGGTTAGGGTTAGGTTGATTTAATTTCCCTCCACACTGTAGCACATTGACAGATGGGAAATTATATTGATGTGAGCAGACAATCAATGAAGAAGAATAAGCCTTTCATGCAGACCTGTGGTGTCTGCGGCCGAAGAACCATTTTGTTTCTTACTGAGAAAGAACTGGAGAGAAGCGTCTACAATTTCTGTTAAAGTAAAAATATAAAATATAAGGTTTCAATAATCGTCCCCAGTTGCAGAAACTGCGACAGAGGCCTTGGGCGATTTCCAGAGTTTTAATTAATCAGCACGAGACTGTGACTGTCAGAGCATCGTTCTGTCCACTCACAGGATCGATTGTGCTGCGTTTAAATTTTCAACATTTAATCTATTGATCTTAAACACTTAAAAGGACATCTGTCATTTTTATTATTTTTTTTACGATTTAATGGAGAAACATTAAGTTTTGCAGATTTTGTAGGACATTTGGCGTACACTGTGTTACACATTAATAGTATTTGCTGTGCTAGCTAGTTCGTGATGTTTTAGTAGCCTGCTAGCACCACACCAGGTTGTTGACATTTTTGTTTATTTTTCAACTTAACTGATAAATCTACTGTATAATAAATGGACTTCCTGTTAACCTGAAACAGAAATTAAAAACAAGAGTATATATATACATTTGAAAATGACGATAAAACCTCAGTACAAAATGACAAAGAAACTCCTTCATTTCCCTTTTTTTTTCTTTTTATTCTCTTTCAGCAACGGAGCCAGCTTTTCTGGAAATTGTAAATTGACGTGAAGAAAACCAGCCTGGACTCAAAAGGTTTTTATTTTTCAGTTTCCCAGCCTCGGGAACAATCAGTCATCAATTTTCCTCTGAGGGTCAGAGGAGCAGCCGGAGCCAAACAACTCTTATCAGACTATCACGCAGACTAATCGAAATCTAAAAGTGCACTTATGCAGACGGCCTGGAGCCGACGCTTCTGAAAAGGTCAGTATTGTTGCCACTCTTGGACGATGCTCAACAATAAAATATATGAGGAGTAAAAAAGTCAGGATGATTAAAGAGGTGGGTGATTAGAAGCACGGAGCAGTTGACCTTGTAGAGATGTTTCCACAGTCGCAGCTCACACCAGAACCATCACGACATCTCCTCCACTCAGAGGATGTTCCTGAACATCTCTTCTGCCCTCGTAAAAGTTTCATCGATCCTCCGCCGTCAGAATGATCCAGTGTTTCAAAACTCTGGACAAATTAATAATTCTTTAATTTTAAAAACGTCTTCACCTGCAGCAGGGACGGCCCCAGACGGAGGATGTTCTCTGTCCTTCCGACCCCTGAATAATGACCGAATTAAGGAGGACACGGGTTTGAATTGTAATCCAAATGGTTGAAGATGCTCTTTCTGAAAGCACAGACCATAAATCTGTGGGAGGCAGCTCTGTCTCGCCAGCAGCATTTATACTGCAACTAT